TGGGGGTTAGTTATTTTTTCTTCTTTTTTATAGTGATGTGTGTGTAGAGAGGGAAGGAATGAGGTTGTTTTTTAGTGTTTTTTCTTCAGCTGTTTTTATCTGTGGTTGAGGGTTGCTGTCTTTTGTGTTTTGAGGGGGGTTGTGTTTTTTCTTTCTTTTTTTTGTGGGGAGGGGGGTGTTTTGTACGTAAATGTGTTGTGTATGTTTGTGTGTGTTTGTTTGTGTGTGTTTGTTTGTGTGTGCGTGTGTGTGTGTGTGTGTATGTATGTGTGTATGTATGTGTGTGTGTGTGTGTGTGTGTATGTGTGTGAACGGTTAGAAATACCATAGAAGAGATTTGAACTAGAGATTTTAACCAAAGCTGTTCGCATACTCCTTGTGCTATCTGTATTCTCACAGAAAAAACGTGGAGGTGGCTGTAAAGGCAGATGAATGTTGGGGGGTAGAAAAATATAGTTATAGGTGATTTTACGATCCCATAGACACAGTTTAGATCATTTAAGAGGTGGGCTTTCGGGACCAACCCAGGATGTCATGGATACAGCATCCCAGCAGAAAGACCAAGGCACTCGTTAAAAATCCCCCCCACTCGGGAAATGAACTCGGATCTCTTGGATGTGACAGAGAAGCATCTATCCGCTACACCACACACGCTGCAAGTTTACTTTTAGTTTAAGTGAGAATTTTGCTGCTCTTGCAACACATGTAGGTCATGTAAGTGCGGAGATCTGAGGTGTTACTAGAAATTAGCTTATTGTAATTTTTTTTTTAAAGTAGGAACTAACATAACAATAAATGTTTGACGGGAGAGTAAGGAGAACACTATAACAGAGAGCCTGCATATGTCCCAGAGGAGTAATAAGAAAAAACACATTGTTGAAAACCTTCTAAAGAACCGCCCATGAATATTTATCCTATGCAAATCATTTAAATTCAGAGAAACGCACTGTTGAACACGTTTCGACTAACATTTAATGAACAGTTATCATTATCAATATGTAAATTTACCAAAGTCATCAGACAGCATAAGTCAATATCTTTACTCTGCATTTCTTGTGCTTATTGTTAGCTAGCAAAGATGCCCTAGATAGATAGATAGATAGATAGATAGATAGATAGATAGATAGATAGATAGATAGATAGATAGATAGATAGATAGATAGATAGATAGATAGATAT